GATCTCTATTCATTCATTATGGCGAGCACTAGCAAAGCGTTTAGAGGATGTGTGCATCCGTGTCATCGTTATTTGACACCCGGGGTGTATTCCAGAAAGCACGGTTAACTAACTGTCAGCTAAACCCTGAATTTGGAACTCGAGGTATGTGGTTCCAAAAACGCGTCCGGGAGTAAATTCATTCAACTCAGAGTATGTTCCTGGTTAAGACTCAAGACATTCTCAACAGAGCGACGAATCGACCAGTCGCTATGGAAACGGACGCTAAAAAGCGCACCATGCCGTTTCTTTCTTTTGTTCAGTGGTCGTTTACATGCTGATCCATGTGTGAGATGATAATATAAAATGTAATAAACATATATAATATAATAAATTAAACATTACCTTGTCATAGTGTTTTATAATTTATAAAGATAACTGTTATATATGCCAATAAAATAAATATAATAACCATATTAGAATAATATATTACCTTATTTATTACTTATATTAGTGCTTCATCATTAACATATACTACATAATATACATATTACATATTGTAATATTATATAATGTTGTGCGCTATCTGTCACGCCCACTTGAAGGCCCGTCAGTAGATCACACGTGCGCTGAAGTGAACTCACCCTGGAACATAACCTGCTCCGGAGCAGGTTGTCTTCAGAGAACAAGTTACTATGGTTACTTGCATACCCTGAAAGTAACCTCCGATTTTGGAACCGAAAGCCGCTTGCTTATCCTCAAACATACCCGGGTATGTCACATAACCATGGGCTGCGTTCAACTTGAAGAAGTTCCAGATCTATACTTGTGCTCTTATTATTTTAGTTATTTTGCCTTTAATGTAAATAAACATGTGCAAACAATATACTTGCTCTTGTGAATTTATTTGGATGTTAATTACATTGTGCGAGCTGTCTCTTTAATACCGTGTGGTTTACATACATGTTGCTGCTGATTGGGCTGACATGTTTGACACACCCACCAAACAAGAGAAAACGCATCTCAAACCCCGTTGCACACCGTTTGACGTGGTTTGCCAATTGACAGGTTGTTATTATTATTTCTTCTGGACAATAAGCAATCATTTGTATTCTATGTTTTTCCTAAATATTCCTAATGACAGTATTATGATTGATTTATATACTACAAACACGTTTTTGCCATTTTTATCATATAAAAAGCAGAAAATATATTTTATAGTTTCTAAAGGCTACTGTAATAGATGATATCAATTAGCACTGCATTATTCATATACTTGATTTATTTATTACGTGGAGATGACCTGGAAAAACACAAAAACCATATGTTGTCACAATCGTGTGTTGCCTTCACGTATCATCAGTCAAAACTTTTATTCAGCTTAGCTTCACCTACTAAAGGCCTATATATATATATATGTGTGTGTGTATGGATGTGTGTTTGTGTGCGTTTTATTTTAATGAAACGATTGTGTGTCAAGCATGATATTTATCATGCGAATTGGGAAGAAATTGTTTGGAATTAGTTAATGCATGTGTGATGTGTACATGTTATTTTGTCAGCACTGTAATATTTGGACTTTGGTGTCAATTTATTCAATTGATGGAATCAGTGTAAAACAGTACTGTTGTCTCAATTCATTCATTCATTGAAGTGAATGTTATATGTGTTAATATTTATAATAGTCATATGTCACAAACTAGTTTTTATGTTTTCTGAAGAAAAGCTTCAGATTTTCACTTGCCTGTGCTAAACTTGCAGTGACATTGTAATAAAGATCTTTTAAAAATGGGGTTCACAGGTTCCTAACTACCTCCCGTCCATCAGCGCAGCCATCAGTCTGACACCGGAGCGCTACATCTGGCGTTTCAGCATCGGCCTGCATTCTGCTCCACGCTTCCTGGTAGCAGCAGCATATTTGAGCTTTTACCGCGGACGCTTTTCCAGGAGGCTGACGGAGCAGCTTTTGAGTGCTCTCACATTCCTCTTAGCTTTAAGTGAAAATGTAGGGCTGCTTCTGCTCACCTACGTCTCCTCCAATGAGACCTACAGTAAGTGCCTTTTTGGACCGAAGCCCTGAGTCGTGTTTAATACGCGTATGCAAATGCAGGGATGCTGAGAGCGCTTGCTGGATCGCTTAGATGTGGTTTTTATTATATTTTTTATTGATTAGTTAAATGTGGCATGTTTGTAAATGGCTGGAGATGCAAAAATGTGCTTTTAAACATTTCAGTTTTTACCTGTGTTGTAATTGTATGATGAGATTGTTTGATTTTTCTTTTTCAGTCTGACATTATTTTCATTTAAAGCAAACCTACTCCCAGTAGTGTATTGTAGTTAAAAACTCTCATTACTCTAATACGAAAAAAATAATGAATTATCACTTAAATTGAAAAGTATCAATTGTAAAGCATAATTTTAAGTATGCATTATAATAGTTTTGATTTTGCTACAATGTATAGTGCACTACCATATATAAGTTTGGGTAAGATTTGTTTGAATCATTTTGAGTCTCTTATGCTCACCCAGGCTGCACTTATTTGATTAAAAAAAATACAGTAATATTTATCACTTAAATTGAAAAGTATCAATTGTAAAGCATAATTTTAAGTATGCATTATAATAGTTTTGATTTTGCTACAATGTATAGTGCACTACCATATATAAGTTTGGGTAAGATTTGTTTGAATCATTTTGAGTCTCTTATGCTCACCCAGGCTGCACTTATTTGATTAAAAAAAAGACAGTAATGTGAAATATTATTGCTATTTAAAATAACTTTTCTAGTTTAATATATTTTAATGAAATATATTCCTGTGATGGCAAAGTTGAATTTTTAGCATCATTAATCCAGTCTTCAGTGTCACATGATCCTTCAGAAAATCGTTCTAATATGCTGATCTTATTATCATTGTGAAAAACAGTTGTGCGGTTTAATATTTTTGTGGAAGCGTAACATTTTTTTCAATTTTATTTGTTTGTTTTTTTAAATAGAACGTTCAAAGGAACAATGTTTATTTCAAATAGAAATCCTTTGTAACATTATAAATGTCTTTACTGTCACTTTTGATCAATTTAATTCATTTAATAATTAATTTCTTTAAAAAAAAAAAAATCTTACTGACCCCAAACTTTTGAACGGTAGTGTATATGTCAACATTTAATTTATATTGATTTAAAAACAAACCAAAAAAAAAAAAGAATGTGTTTGAGCAGGATACTTTTCTTTACTATAATACAGAATAATAAAACATGGATAAATTGTCAAGAAAATGTTGCTATGCAAAAACAGGTTTCATTTTGTAATGCAAAAGTTAGTTATTTTCTTTTTTTTCTGAAATTGTTTTATATTATTTTTACATGAAAAACAAGCTTTTTGTACATGGTTTTTAATGCTGCGCGTGTACATGTGGTCCACAGGTGTCCATAAGAGCGGCTTCATCTTGTTTATTGACTCCCTGTTCCACATGATGTGCACCTGCAAGCTGTGGTCCTTGATTGCAAAGTATTCCCTCAGTGCAGAGGTAACGATTTCTCTGTATTCTAGGCATGCACTTACTTGCCCACAACTGTTACAAACAGACCGGCAGAGGGCAGTATAAGCCAATCTCTCATGTAATATACATTAAAACTATAATTATAGCCCTACTTTGGTTTTAAATTTTACAGCACTATTTAACTTTTGGCGCTCTAGCGGTTAATAAACAGAACTGCATGCTTTAATAAATAAAAATAGTGATTTATATTGTAAGCCCTGCTGGAAACAGGAAAATGTAATGCAAATTAGGTGTTTATTTATTTTAATTTTTTTTTTTTAAATTATATCTAATAATTAATTTGGAATGCTCCGTTGTTGATTTACATCAGGGGTGCCCTGTCCTGCAAAGTTCAGCTCCAACCCTAATCAAACACACCTGAAGCAACTAATTAGGGTCTTCAGGATCACTTAAAAATTAAAGGCAGGTGTCTTTGATTAGAGTTGGAGCTAAACTTTGCAGGACAGTCGATCGCCAGGAGCAGGGTTGGGCACCCCTGATTTACGTTATAAAAAATGCATCCAAATATACATACTTCACTTGAATGGCAGTAACATTAGGTAGTTGTAGTATGCCTGGATTTCATTCATACTATAACGAATATACTTTTTTAAAAAGTCGTAAAGTAGGCCTAGGTTTCAAATCAAATGTAGTGCCAACTTGGACAGTTTGTGATTTCAGCTAAGTTTAGCTTTTAAACAATCCATACATGCAGGTCCTTTTCTGATTGGATGAAACGATCATGTATGACCATTTTTAGATTCAGCTGATACATTCACTTACAGTAAAAATTCAGATATATTCTTAACACCCCAGTGATCTTGACACCACGAGCACAGCTCTAATAAAAGGTGTTGCTTGTGCTGCTGGGTGAGAATCATGGGAGTTGATGTGTCAGAGAGCTTTATATTTCAGTGCTGTGAAAGTGCAGCTGGGTTTGTGTGCCTCGGGGGGAAGTGGTTACTGTGCTTTCACAGAACCTCGTCCCACCTGCTTGCCCCACATCTTGTTGCAGAAGAGAACTGATGACATTGTGTGTCTTCTTTCTCCTTTTTCTCGTCTTTCTTCTCTCTTCCTCTACTGCATCTACCCAAACCCTGTTTGACGTCAGGAGATGAAGTCATACCGCCGGAAGCTCCGCCTCTTCCTCTTCAACGGTTTCTTCGGTCTGTTGGCTGCTTACTTCTACAAGCGGCACAACGCATACTGTGAAGCAGGAAGTGAGTGCAACATCTTCACCGTTCTCGGTCATTCACCCCACCCATGTTCCACTCGACACTTGTTCCATTTTGGTGATTTTACATGCTTAACATGAACTCGCAAATTCACTTTAGTATAGGGACCAGTTCTCACTATTAACTAGTTACTTATTAGCAATCCTATTATTAGCATGTTGGCTGTTTATTAGTGCTTATAAAGCACATATTCTGCATGGCCATATTCTACATCCCTAATCCTACCCAAAACCTAAATTTAACAACTACCTTACTATCTTGATAAACAGTAATTGGGAGTTAATAGTGAGAACTGGAACTTAAAGTTTGACAACAAATTTTTACAAATTATAACTAATTATCTGTGTTTGAAGTTCTTAAAGGGATAGTTCACCCCCCAAAATTGTGATTAGTTAATAAAATTCATATAGTTCCAAACCAGTATGCTGTTAAGTTTGGTTTCAGTATGTTTTTAAAGAAAAGTCTCTTATGTTAAAGGGGTCATATGATGTTGCAAAAAAGAACATTAATTTGTGTATTTGGTGTAATGAAATGTGTTTATGCGGTTTAAGGTTAAAAAAAAAACATTTTCCACATACTGTACATTATTGTTTCTCCTCTATGCCCCGCCTTTCTGAAACGCGTCAATTTTTTACAAAGCTCATCGGTCTGAGGACGAGTCTTAACTTTTATAAAGAATATCTCTTTGGGTTTGAGACTTTAGTCTTTGCAACTTTAGGGATCTTAACTATTTACGAACAGCTTGTAACACTCCAAAGAGAAAGGAAAACTTGAAATCGCATCATATGACCACTTTAACAGAGGCTACATTTATTTGATCAAAAATACAGTAAAAACAGTAATAGTGTGAAATAGTATTACAATTTAAATGAACTGTTTTATATATTTGAATTTATTTTAAAAATGTAATTTATTTCTGTGATGCAAAGCTAAATTTTTCAGCATCATTACTCCAGTTTTCATTGTCACATGATTCTTCAGAAATTATTCTAATATACTGATTTGCTGCTCAAGAAACATTTCTTATTACAAATGTTGAAAACTGTCATGCTGCTTAATTTTTTTATGAATTTGAAGTTTCTTTGATTCAAAAGAACAGCATTTATTTGAAGTTAATGAATTTTCTGTAAAAAAAATAAATAAATACTTTCTGAATAGAAGTATTAATTTCTTGAAAAAAATAAAACTGACCCCAAATCTCAAATTTAATATCCATTTTTCATATTGTACCCAAAAATGAAAAATTGCTGACAATGTACTCACACTCCGGCTATCCAAGATGTAGATGAGTGTCACGTTACGCTGTTGAGGAAGCACGAGTAAACGAGAACTGTCTTTAATCAAGGAAACATTGGAGATAATCCACAATAGGAGCTTGAGCCAACACACGTAGAGAACAAGTAGGACTTTTAAACACAGGGCAATCAGGGGAACACAGGTGACATCAATGGAACATAATCAAACTAAACGAGGACAGGAACATGACCAAATAAGGAAACACGGGAAGGACTATGGGGGAAAAACAGGTCCAAAAGTCTGACAATGAGTTTGTTTCTTTATCAGAATAAATTTGGTGAAATTTAACATTATATCATGCTCACCAATGGATCCTCTGAATTGAATGGGTGCCGTCAGAATGAGAGTCCAAACAGCTGATAAAAACATCACAATAATCCACAAGTAATCCACACAACTCCAGTCCATCAGTTAACATCTTAAGAAGTCGAAAAGCAAATACAAAACAAAACATTCAAAACATTTTAACTTGATGAATTTGTTTATTACACTCACTTTTTTCACTTCACAGGATGTTAATTGATGGACTGGAGTTGTGTGGATTTCTTGTGGATTATTGTGATGTTTTTATCCGCTGTTTGGACTCTCATTCTGACGGCACCCATTCACTGCAAAGCATCCATTGGTGAGCGAATGATGTAATGCTAAATTTCTCTAAATCTGTTCCGATTAATAAATCTTCCTCTACATCTATATCATCTACATCTTGGATGGCCTGAGGGTGAATACATTTTCATATTTGGGAGAATTATTTATTTAATTTAAATAATCATTTATTTTGCCATTTAAATTACATTGATTTACCGCACTTCAGTAATTTCTGTTGTCTCTCTATGGCAGTTTACACATTCTTTGCTTTTTGTGAGTATCTGGTGGTGCTGTCCAACATGGCCTTCCACATGACTGCCTACTGGGACTTTGGAGGTAAGGAGGTGATGGTTGCAACACCTCCAGAGGGAAAGCGCTTCTGACACAGGAAGTCAATACTTGCATCATCTACTTGAAACTTGAGACTCTTGAGGACTCTGAGGGTGGCACTCATGCTGATTTAGGGTCGACACTGATTGAGCGAAGACTGTTCACATCTTCACATATGGTGTTTTTAACTCAGTTACTTCAAAAATTCAATACAGATGTTTAAACGATCATTGTCAGTGGTGTGCTACATTTTGAACGATTACATTGTTTATTCAGGTGTAACTGGAACGGCTGATTCATTACTTCAAAACCATTTATTTGACTTGTCTGTCTCTTTCTAATTGGTTTGTCAGGGTCATGCTTTGGTTTCACTCGAAATGATGTGAAGTTTAAAATATTTGCTTATTATTTGTTAAATATTTGCAAGTGTAAAAGTAATTGAACTCTTGAGGAGTGGTGATGGACTTTGACGTCGTGTCAGTTGGTTTGCAGCTGCTGTTTCACAAGTGCAGCATTGAGCTCATACACTGACTACTCACGCTACTGAAAGACATTTAGTTCAGTCACACCTTTGTAAACGCTAATGTAAATCATGTGAAAATTCATTTTAAACTGCCTTTTGCACAGCGTTTCTTGTGTGCCTTTAGTGGCTAGAGAGCACTGTAAAGTTTGTACATATTTCTGTGGTCAAATGTAGAGCGGTTATTGAACGTGAACAACATGGGCCCTTAAGCCGCGTACACACCGGGACGTTTATCGCGCGCGCTTATCGCCGACGTTTTTCGACGCGTCTTTTGTGTTCATACCCAAGCGATTTTCGCAGGCGATGAGCCGAGTGAACGTGCAAATTCACTCCCTGCCATTAGATGGCGCTTAATGAAAAACAGAAATACCCCACATCGAATCCTATTTTATCTGCAATTCCTCTCCATAACAACTCCCTCTTATCTAGATTTTTGTAGTCGCTGTCGCGTTTGTCATAAAGCCCTTTGTGTTCAGACACCAATGAGACCAGCAGCTCTACATTCATCTTGCCTCGATGCATCTTCTTGGTCTACTTACTTCCTCTTTGTCGTTAGGTATCAATGTGTGCTCGGCAAGACCGTTTTGTGCTTGAGAGCCACCAAGTCGTGTTTTACTGTAACTTCAGCAGCTCCAGGCATGTGAACAAAAGCGCCAATCTCATTGGTCGGCCAGTTTTTAACGCGGCGCGTCAAACCAAAAAAACGAGCCCGAGGCGTTTTTTTTTAAATGACGCTTTTACGCCTCGCGTTTTGCGCGTCGGTGTGCACACTCACATTGGCGCCCTTTGTTTAGTCACGAGGCGTTAAACGTCGGCGATAATCGCGCGCGATATTCGTCCCGGTGTGAACAAGCCTTTAGGATGCATTTCAAATATGATGTTGCCATTGGTTGAATGAGAAAACTGGCTCAGTCTTTGCATAGATCAACATGATGTTGTGAACATTATTGCATACAATAATGCTTTTTATGATGTACCAAAATACTGTTTTTAAATCAGTGTCAAATAAATATTTGGATGAAAAGTAAGTGGATCATTTCTGAGATTAGCACATGCATATTTACTGGATATATTGGTACCCTATTCATTAATGGCTGCTGTTAGAGATTTTTTTATTGATTGGTATTGGAATGATTATTTTTTAAGGTTTATTTTAAGGTGTCCTTGTATAAGTGTAATAATACAATTTAAGTACTAAATAATATGTATTACTATAGGGATAGGGTTTGATTTAGTTTAAGGTAAGTTGCTTGTAATTATGCATAATTTACTGTTATTACTAAAGTAAGTAAATGTAACGTACACTGTAAAATAGTGTTACCTTAGTTTTTCATTCTATACATTAATTTTTTTATGCTTAAATTCAGTTGTAGCATTTCAAATGATTGATTTTTTTATTTAGACAAAAAAAAAATATTTTATAGCAATTTTATAATAATTAAATTAATTTTGATCAGCCCACATTAGTTAAATTTTATTTTAAAGTGATATTATAACATAGAGGTTGCAGATTGGAGTTGTTGGTTCCTTTTGTGTAGAGAGAAATGTAGTGTAATATAAAGTCTTCACAAATAACCTGCATTTTTTCTTTTATTTTCACTTCTTCATTTCAATATATATATCAGGAAAAGATGGTCATTATATAGCAGAATTGCTGTTAGTGAGGCTCCAGTCAAAACTTGTTTGCCCGTACTGAGGAACGGGCAAACAAATGAATGAAAATAAACTGACAAAAGAGTCACTGTTAGCGCTTGGAAAACAAACAGAGGTACCAGGAGCTAATTTCATAGTCAAATAAGAGCGGTCAGGCAACAGAGAGTGGGGCGATTGCAGGGAAAAGCACCGATAATGAGTGACAACAGAAATAGACTGGATGACCAGTAAGATTTAAAACCAAATGTCATTCTGATGCCAAATTGGGAGTGTTGTTTATTTAGGCTATTCACTGATAAAGGAAGCTTGCATGCAGAAGAGCACTAAAGGAAATCCCTTCTCCAGCATTCCTGATGGTCTAAATTCACTGACCAACTCTGACCTTTTCAAAAAGTTAGTTTAAACAGAATCTAGCAGACAGATAGTTAAAGGGATAGTTCCTTCAAAATGAAAATTCTGTTATCTCGCCCCGTTTACTCGCCCCTATGTCGTTCCAAACCCGTACAGCATTGTTTTTTGGACCCCATTGACATTTATTGTATGGACAAAATGGTTATTCCAAATATATTTTGTGTTCTGCAGGAGAAAGGAGTCACACAGGTTTGCAACAACATGAGAGTGAGTAAATCATGTCATTTTTGGTAACACATACTTTTCCTTTTACTTTCTTTCTTGGTCAGATTTGGCACTAATATGGATTATGGACGCTTCAGTATAGTTCAGGGGTGGCGAACATGAGTCCTGGAGAGTTTTGCTTCAACCCTAATCAAACACACCTGAACAAGCTAACCAAGGTCTGAAGTGTTATTAGGAAGCTACAGGCAGGTGAGTTTTAATTAGGGTTGGAGCTGAACTCTGCAGGGCTGCCGCTCTCCAGGACTGGAGTTTGCCACCCCTGGTATAGTTAAAATACGTTCCAGTGAACTTTGACTTGTCTGAACAGCTCTGCTGTAATCACTACCTACTGTAAAAGCTTCAGGCGTGTGTGTGTGTGTGTGTGTGTGTGAGAGAGAGAGACCAGATATCAGGTTCACGCTGTTTTGACTCTATATGTTCAGTGTTGTGTCATTATCACAGTCAGATAGAGAAATACACTATACCTGCTTCCTCTTTTAATCTGTAAATCAATATGACTGGATGTTTTGAAATAAAAGATTTTACTGAAATTGTATCTAGTAGTACTCTGGACTTATTCTTTGATGTTTCAAGACATACTACCATTCAAAAGTTTTTCTTTAAAGAAATTCATACTTTTATCGAGCAAGGATGCATTGAATTTATCAAAATTGACATTAAAGACATGTATAATACAAAACATTTCTGTTTATTAAAGAATCCTGGGGGGGAAAAACTTAATTTCCACAAAAATATTAAAGGTGCAGTAGGAGATCTTGGAAAATGCTAACTTTAGCCTGATAGCACTGAAAGCGAACGTCCCACCCTCCCTGCAATCGCCATCCAAAGCCACGCCCTCTGAACGCATTTACGCTCACAGTTTGTCTGTCATTCTCGCTCTGTCTGCACAGCGTGCGTGAATGCGCTGATGACGTATCCTGTCTGCGCGAACCGGATGCGCAGAGGTATGCAGATACATATGTTGACAGGCAGGTAGGAAAGCATATTAAAACGCTCAGACCTAGCGTTTTGATTGGACGAACATTTCTTGATCCTACGCTTTCCACAAAATATATAAATACGAACAAATACATTTAGACCACTTAACTTAATGATTGCTATCGGGATATGAAGAGACTTTCAACCAGCATAACAAAAAATGTTTCTGAAGACAATCACCTATTGCACCTTTAAGCAGCACAACTGTTTTCAGCTGTGATAATAATAATAAATGTTTCTTGAGCACCAAATCAGCATATTAGAATGATTTCTGAAGGATCATGTGACACTGAAGACTGGAGTAATGATGCTGAAAATTCAGCTTTGCCAATACAAGAATAAATTGCATTTTATTCTAATAGAAAACAGTTATTTAAAATCATAATAATATTTCATAATATTACTGTTTTTACTGTATTTTTAATCAAATAAATGCAGCCTTGGTGAGCATAAGAGACTTCTTTAAAACATAAGAAAATCTTACTGATCCTGAACTTTTGAATGGTAGTGTAGGAAGACAACAAATCTGCTGGAAGCTTTCTTACAAATTATGTGATAAAACAGTTGTGATAAAATTACAAACATAACATTGATAGAAATGACTACAATTCAGAACTGTAGTAGGATGTTAAAATAAAGCAGTTTGAATTTTATTAGGATACAATTTTTTATCAAAATGCAAAACAAAAAAATGTAATTCATTTGTATAAATTACAAATTGATAAATGTTTTATATAAAATTGGCTTGGGGAAATGACCTCCGAAGGGTTAAAGGGTGTCACAAGGTGTCTCTTTTGTTTAGTGAGGCAAAAATGCATACAAGACAAATGAAAAAATGAAAAATAAAATAAATAAAATGCATCCTGTTCCGTGAGACTGACTGACTGTAGCATCCACACAACTCTCAGCTGAATTATTCAATGCTTGAAAAGTATTGCTTTCACATGACTTTGGGATTTCTCGTACATTTATGGCCAAAAGCACACATACAGACTAAGCAACACGTTATGACTTAAAATTCATCATATGATTCATGCACAATGAAGTGTTTCTCTGTTTGCTGTGAATGTATTGTCCTTAATGAGACACAATATGATCTTCTTGACTTTCAGCTAACATTTGATCTAATGCTAATAGGCTAAACATTACAGAAAAAAAAATTATAGTTAAAATACCACTGATGAAAATATACTTTTGCCCTTGGCTTTTAGAAATTTGACATACAACAATCTGTCTGCTTACATATATAATAAACTGTATATAGAAAGGCACTGTAAAGTCATACATTCATCTAAACTAACAAAGAAGGTAAAATGGTGATCATTTAAAGCTTGTTGATAAATCCCTGAGCTTTGAAATCTACAAACTGAACTCGATCTTTAGCCAGTTGAAAGCTTCCTTCCTTTTCGTTAATGGCTCATTTAGGATTGTGCTAATTAAATCGACACAAGCTGCTCCCAAATCAGTCATCAAGTGAAGAAAGTGCCTTGTTTTCTAAAAAGGTTCTGAAGCCCCACCCTGGAGTGCTGAGGAAGAAAAGAATGAAGAGTTGAAGGCGCAGTGCATGCTGGGACCTCTGTTTCCTGAAGGGACTGCCAGCCAGTTTCCCCATTACAAGGAAGTAAAGCCGACAAGCTGCCAGGCAACAACACCCTCATTACTCATATAAGACCAGGTATGTCTAAGGGGCCGGTTCACACAGAACGTGTTTTTGCGTTTCACTGCGCTGCTTTTTAATAAAGTATGACAGTGGTGTTCTGGAAGTAAAAATCCCATTCGTTTTCTGAATAAGAAATCAACTTTGAACGATAACTTAGAAACCTTTAAAGACAAACCTGCTGTGAGCTATGAGGTTGTTAATCGTTGGTGTATGCTTCTGTTTAAACCATCAGCCTGTATAACTTATTTTTTTAAAGGGGTCATATGATGCTATTTTAAAGAACATTATTTTGTGTAAACTTTTATAAATATCTCTTTGGATTTAAGACTTTAGTCTTTGCAACTTTACAGATCTTCTTTATGCGCCAAGAGCTTGTAACACTCCAAAGAGAAAGAAAAACTTGAAATTGCATCATATGACCCCTTTAAAATCATGTTCAAAAACAGAATTCCTGGTAAAAAACTACATTACCCATGATTCTGCACAAAATATCCACCAATCGGAGAATTACGACAAGCAAATGAGGGACCACCCACTCCCATAAAGCATGCTCTCAAACAGTTTAAATATTTGTACATATACGCATATTACGCATTAAACATAAAATATGTTGTTTCTACATACACATACAATCAATATATTTTACTTTCTCTTGTTTTCAGTTTGATTGTCATATACAATGCTTCATGGGATTGTAGTTCTTTCCCTCATTAAAGCAGTTAAATACACATTCTTGTATCTTTGTCTGTTTTCGATTTTCAAATACTTTTTTTTGCTTCAAATCAAAATATGTAATGTTGTGATTTACCTCATAGCTGGTTGCTTTAGTTCATGGCTTAAAACTCTGGCTCCTGAAAAAGTAAGCAGGCAAAGTTGCGCTATATTTTTTCTGTTGGTATAAATTTTCGCGCACAAGCACTGTGTTTTAAAGATGCTGTGTCAAAGTGCATGCAGCTTTTTAGAGTCTTAAAACCCTGCTTTGTTTCCTTTACATTAAGCTGTGTCTTGAACGTAAGAATGCTGTGATGACTACGATATTTATAGATAGTTGCTAATTACACTACAGGCCTGTCCTCAAGGACACTCCAATCACAGAACAAATGCCTTGGGCATAAAAAGCTTTATTATATTAGTACTATTAAATTCTCAGATAGTTTTTTTTTTTTGTGGAAAAAATGAAGACAAAAAGAAAAAGAACTTCATTAACCAATAGTATTAATAAGTCTCCAAACACTAAAAAGGAACTAGAACCCCTTTCCTCTGAGATGTGTTTAAGGGTTACTTCCTCTATATTCTTTTATGTATTTCTAAGATACCAGAAGATGGTATCAAACTGTTTAGTGGTCTCTCCCCTTAAAATTCTATAAAAAAATATGTAGGGATCTCAGTACAGTGTAAAAACCTAATATTTTACTTAATCTTGTGTTTCTCTAATTTCACAGATTAAGGCTGTGTTTCTTGGTCACTGAAGATCTATTATTCCAATCATTCCATAAGATTCCCACCATTTCTGCGTGTAATTCAATTAAAATACCTCTATCCTCTCTGTATTTTCAGAGGAGTATACAGGGCTTCTTTGGAGCCACAGGTTGAGGACTGAGGAAGGCACGCACTGCATCTGCAAACACGTCCTTGATGCCGTCCTGGCTGAGTGCCGAGCACTCCAGGTACTTGACGGCGTGGATTTGGCGAGCCAGAGCCTGGCCCTGCTGGTGCGTGATGGGCGCCTGGTTCTGCTCCTTTAGCTTCTTCAGCACATCTGCGTCGTTGCGAAGATCGCTCTTGGTCCCCACCAGCAGGATGGGCACGCTGGGACAGTGGTGCGTCACCTCTGGGTGCCACTTGTGCTTGACGTTCTCATAGGACGGGGGGCTGGAGATGGAGAAGCAGATGATGAAGACGTTGGTCTGAGGGTAGGACAGCGTGCGAAGACGGTCGTACTCCTCCTGTCCTGCCGTGTCCCATAGATTGAGGCTGATGGTGCGGCCGTCCACGGTGACTTGGGAGCTGTAGTTGTCGAACACGGTGGGAATGTACTCTTTGGGGAACGCGCCGGTCGTGTACGAGATGAGCAGGCAGGTTTTTCCCACTGCTCCATCCCCCACCACCACACACTTGATGCTCTGCATGATAGAAAGGTGACCACTCGACTTCAGCAGTCTGCAGAGAAAGAGACACCACTCTATGTTAGAGGACAACATGACAAAACAGTGCTTAGATGAATAAAAGAATAGGTAAATACACAATGTATCAATACCATATCGGTTATCGAGCTGATATTCGAGTTTTTTAACATTTATTCATATTGGGCGATATTGGGTGTTTAATTTTAAAAACACAAATAACATTAATTCTGTCATGACAACTCTGGGAGGGATTAGCATGGTAATGTACATGACAATGTTAATGTATTTGGTCTTGGCGGAATAGATCTGCTACGCTGCTGCTGCTGCTGCGGCAGAGCAAGTACCGAGACTTGCTACTACCAATATATCCACAACATGCTGCTGTGAGCATGTAAGAAATATTGCTGCTGCAAATATAACATACATGAAATAACCCCCAGCATACATGAATACATCGTAGCAGATCTATACAGGTGGAGCTGGGGAAGGTGGAGGGTTTCTGAAGTAATATGCAACTGCTACGGCAAGCACTAGTCATATATTTGAATGTTGAGCAGCGAGCTCATTGGCTACAGATACAGGAGAAAACCAATCAGTTGTGCCATGTGATAATGCTGTCATTAGGTCAGATTGTGTTAGACCTATCGGACTGCACCATCTAGAGTTTCATGCTAGAACTCTGTATTTATCATCTTCAGCGAAACTCTTAACTTAATATTACTATACAATACTATATAATACAATACAAATGTCTTGCACAAAAATTTGGTCCAAAAAAGGAAGTCAAACCGTATGTTTTTAAACAGCCATTAAGACTTTTGTATTCGATATGGTGTCAAATAACACCAAATACAGAGAAACGAGAGCAGCTTACGGACAGTTTTAATGTAGTATCATTGATATTTGATTTGAAATTTTTATTTTTGTATTTTCCATCTTAATTTTATTTTAAAGTTTTAGTTATTATCTTGTGTGCTTTTGCAACATTTATCTATTCATGAAAAATTTAAGGGGGTCTGAATACTTTCCGTACCCACTGTATATGTTTGTTTATTCAAATTAAAGTCACACTGAATTTTTACACACATTAGTCTTGGTGTTAACAGTAGGGCTGTCAAATGATTAATCGCGATAAATAGTGATTACTTGCATCCAAAATTAAAGTTTAAGTTTACATAATATGTGTGTGTGTACTGTGTATATTTATTATGTATTTATTAGTGCTGTCAAATTATCTAAATATATTTAATATATAAACATATTTTTCTTAAATATATACATGCATGTGTTTGTATTTATATAAACATAATAAATATACACAGTACACCCTCATATTATGTTTTATTTTGGATGAGATTAATCGCGATTAATCGTTTGACAGCACTATATAAATATACACATATTTATATAGGCATGTATATAGTCTTTTATTTGTAATTTATATAGGCAAAACACTACACTATAAATTTTAATATGAACTATCACAAAATGAAAAAAATATCTTTAAAAAATTGTTTAATTATAAAAAAATTTATTAACATATAGGCTTCAGCCATAATTTAACTTTAATATCAGTGTTATAATTTAATATCAGTGCACACAGTGCACATACATATTTCAGAAGGTCAGGATGTACAGTATGAATGGATCGTTGGAAAGAAAGATTTACAAACATGCAAAGAGAGGGGCAAAAGAAAAAGGTTAACAAGAACCTCTAGCTGTTTGTGTTCATGCAAATGTGTAGCATGTTGAGGTCATTTGGGCGTTTATAAAACAATGTTTTGAATATACAGTCAGCCTCCCCTAGTTCCTTCTACTTCCCTTTGCAGTTTTATTGATAAGCTGTGTATATATCATAACACAAATGAATTCCCACTTGTAAATTAGGGGATTATTCACCTCCTCAGAAATGCACAAAAACAAGAGCTTTTGTCCTCCATCTTTCTTTTCACTTTCCATTTGGGACATATTCAATGGAAATATGACCAATTTGGGTCATAAAAATGACTCAAATTGCTCTCTGTAGGAAGCATGACACGCAGATTGAGATTTTCTAAAACATGTACGCTGGAAAATGTCAAAACACGTGTGATATGTTTCAGTTAATGCTGAAGACATTTAATGTCGGGACTGACTGAATACACATCTGTAGATATTCAACATTCGTGAAAGTCTGTGCAAAGTCAACATTGGTAATTGCTGTTTTTGTGGAAAAGGAGCTGGAAAGTAGATTTACTGACCAGTTATTGTCTGTTAATAATTAAAATTTTTGTTACATGATAGGTTGTTTCCCCAATAGTTTGATCATGATATCTAAGCCATCTTGCTTGTAGCAAATGTGAGACCGATGTGTAATCTCACACAGCAACTGAGAGCTGTGGAGTTACGGCCGAAAAGCTCAGTTCTCTCTTTCTTTCTCACTTATTCCAAGAGTCTGGCAGATGTTTGACTCCAGGAGAAAGGAGTGAGACGGACTCTGCCCAATCTCCAGAGACGCTCAGAGAGAGAAATACTCAGAGCCCTGGCCTCCTCTGCAAGGCGTTAGCCAATGTGGTTAGTGAACCAAGAGCTCAGAGTCTGTCCTGTCACTTACAACACAGCTTTGTCATATCACAATACCGATGGTTAGCAACCGAACTGCTCAGTGTTATATAAAATGGAGAAAAACAAGTGCAATAAAATTCTATTGAATTTTTTTTTTTACAGCTTTACTGTGTGAAATTCATACTTGGGGTATAGGGTTCAAGTCATGTTGTAGAAGTTCAGGATATGGCGACGTAATATAATATTTTAAGATTCAACCATCAGAAAACCTAATGATTGATGACTAATCTGAATATTGTCTATAGTGGTTATGGCCTTGTTCAAATATAATTTTTAGGTTTATCACACTTTATCACTGAGCCGAATGACACAAATCATGTGTAAGCTAACAGAGGAACAGGCAGTCCTAAAGGCTACTAGTTTTTAGCAGCAAAAGGAGAACTTACACTAGATTGCAAAGTATGCAGAAAGAAATCAAAACTAGAAGTGGTCAGTTACATTTATCCATTCTTACTGAATCTAGAATTTAGAATCTTTCATCATAAAACTGAAACTAAAGCGTTACTGTCCGAGAGATTGTAATTGCACACTATTTCCTCTGTATTTCCTCCACATAAGCAGGTGAAAATAAGAAAGAAAAAAAACAATTTATGACACAGCAAGTCACCATCTTTCCAGTGACTCACCGCAGAAAAGTGTGCCTCAGTGAGCCCCTTGTGTCATTCAAGATATTCAGCTGTTTTGTAACAATATTTTCACATTAGGAAGTTAACAATAACAGCTCTGAGTGTGGATGAGTGTGGAAGATCCTCTCACAGATGGGCTATTATTTTGGCTAACTAGAATGACCGTGGTAGATTAGTCAAATATGCTAAAGCAAATAAGATTTCTCTAATGGAAGCTGCTATTTGGTTCGGAAATAGATAAATATCCCAACTTCTGCAAGGCTCTGTTGGATTTTAAAATGAGGATGTTTCTCAGTTCCTCATTCCCTCTGGAAAACCCAACTGCCTTTTTTTCTTTCTCTCCAAATTTGCATAATTCCCCATTCATTTTCTCAAAGGACCATATTATGTTTCAACATGCACAACCAAATTTTCACAGAAAGGTCTTCACACCAGGAGGATAGGTTTTGTGATAATAGGCTATATAATGTACATTAAAATACATCTTTGTTTATATCATATAATTTGTCACAGTAATTCGTCATTTGTACTCTGCTTTATGAGTTTCTCGTCAGTAGCCTACTTAAATTCAAAGTGGTCAAAATTGTCATGAATTCGTAGCTGGAGTTGAATTGAGTTCAAAATCGAAGACAGCAAATTGGCATTTATTCGCATAGAACGTTACTTGTCAATACTCTTAATTACAGTGCTTTAGTGCTCTGTGTTATTTTATGGGAGTGGCCCCTATTCCTGCTCTCTGATTTAAAAACTCAAGCATAGTTTATTCATCAAGCCGCGGTCCAAAGCGAGAAGATTACAGCAAATTTAGCAAAATCTCACACGTTCCAAATTCTAAATCTGCCTCTGCGCAATTTCTCTTCAACAAACCAAGACAGAAATGAATAAGCGCAGAAATATGTTGTCTAACAAACTGTAATCTATATATCACAGGACTACATACGATTTTTAAACAAACATATCTTACCAAGCATATCAGATGCCCTTGAGGACCGTAATCCCGCTGCTGTGGAAGTAATTGTTGAAGTCTGTTGGACGTGAGTGTGTTCACCCCTCAGAGAGGAAGTTAATGGCTTAACGGCATATTTGAGGAAGTTTACCGAAGTAAATGTGGCTATGACAATGTTTAAGAGGGCGTAACAGTCTGTCTACACTGCAAGCAAGCGCGCTCCCACTTTACCCGTGCGCTGTCAGCTCTGTTGATTGCAATAGCTTCGTTCTGGTTTTGTCGCGTCGTCTTGTTAGTTTGCAGTGTAGAACATATGCATCACAGGGAAATCCCGTATCATCACAACCGCACACTCAAGATGAAACTACCTGAACTAAGGAGGAGCCGTGAGAATATCGACTTGAATCATACACAGAGTCGTGGGCTTATCATTTTCCACCAAAATTACTGCTACAAATGTGAACCTTTAAATGAATAATTTACGCAAAACTGGGCCCATATCGTTACAAATTCGTTATAGCTTTCTTCTTGGCGCACAACAAAAATAGAAGTTTTGAATAATGTTCAGGCTGCTCTCTTCCATCCCTTACAAAAATTAACCATGGTTTTATTGTAGTAAAAGTGTAGTAACCTTGTTTTTTTTGCGTATTGATTACTATTTGTAGAACCACAGTTTTACTACAAATACCTTAGTTAAACTATAGTTAGTATAGTAAACCCATGGTTAATTTGTGGTTACCATGGTTTAACTATAGTAACCATGGTTTTGTGGTTTTATTTGTTGTACAACCATGGTTAATTTTCGTAAGGGATACTATGAAAGTGGATGGGAATGTGGCTGTGATGCAATAAGTACAAAAAAAAAGCACTTTGACTTCGAGTTGTGCATGTAACTTTGATTTGGTAGTAATTGTATGGAAAAGGGTTTAAGTGCACTGCTATAAATTTCCAATTTTTTGCTACATGAAAAAGCCTAATAATGAAAATTTTTTATTTGAATGAAACTATCCTTTGATCATTTATAGCCTATGAAATCTCATGCAAAAAGGCTTTCAGTCTTTGTTTGTTTGTATCTCACCCATAGTTGTCACAGACAGACAGACAGATAGATAGATAGATAGATAGATAGATAGACAGACAGACAGACAGACAGATAGATAGATAGATAGATAGATAGATAGATAGATAGATAGATAGATAGAGTACTGGGCTAAATTTATGTAGGCCTATCAAAATTTTGAACACATTAAAGGTTATGTTAAACAGACAGGAAAACTGGGAGGGGTTTCTTCAGTTTTAGCTACATGGTTTGAGCATCATGCCACTAGATGGCCGTGTCTTTCTGCTTTTTGAGAACAAACCTCAAACCCTGACAATTTATATCCCAAGAAACTATTTGCTTTACCATTAGACAACCTCCAAAAGCGACACCAAACGGATCCTTACGGATTCTTAACACCAAGGGGTTTTTGGATAACTCAGAAAAGAGGACGTTGAAACCATGCAGTGAACTTCGAAAATTAATTTATAAATCCGGGACATACTTCTGGTGTCATACATTTGGAAAACAACTCTTTTTCATTTTGGACGTTTTGTTCGAAGCGCGCATTAACACCAGCGATGGACAAATATTTTTGACAGTAGGCTATTTGATATTATTGACATGGGCGGGTTATTATAGACTATAAGGGGGAAATGTGGGATCTCGAACATTTTTGAAGTAGCCTATTGTTTAAACTTGTTGGACATTAAAATGACAACAGTTTTGCACCTGAGTTAAAACAACATCCCGCTGATTAGAATAACATCCTACAGCTATCGGTTGCCTAATGGACCTCAGTTAGATCAAAAGAAACTTTTACATCTGATTTGTCACGAGAGACTCGCGCAGTTTGCAACCTTCGGATTTGGACAGGTAATCTTATATTTTCAAATCAATAACATGATGAGTGTGAGGCTACATGTGCATTTGCATCATTACGGCAACAGTTGCTTTTGTGCTTTCGTATGCTATCTGATATGAGCCAAGTGGCAAAATAGGCTACACAAAGGCGGAACTTGAGCGTACCACAAAAAGAGGCATAGGCTATTTGCCGCTTTTTTATTTAGTAAGATGAATTTGATCATCCGGCATCTGATTAAGTTTGCCAAATATGTAAATATATCAAAACGAATGTGACATGCCACGCGTAACTGGACTGAAGCGTGCAGCTACGTTTGGAGGGTTTTTCATGTAGCTACATATACAATTCAGCTCTACCCATATGGCATCGTGCGTTAACACGTCCCTTTAAACAAACAATTTCTAGGTTTGTGATACTTGTACTTTTTATTTTTCTAATTATTAATACGTAATCCAGCAGTATCTTTTTCATTTTCTCTAGTGGCTAGTATTTACTAGTTTAGTATTAGTATGTATTCCTTAGTTATTTGTAACCATTCAAATAAGCACTAGTATCTGTTTTAGTTTTACTGGCATTCACTGAATATACAGTAGTAGCCTAGTCCTAACTTTTTAGTACATTTTTAATCTTAGGCCTACTAGTTGGATTTGTAATTAAACTGTAAAGCAGCCATTCTAACTAAAACTAAAACAACTGTAACTAGTGCAATAAGAAATGTTGCTAGTAATACCTTGGACACCCATAAATAGATAGCCTACTATATAAGTACTGTAAGTATAAGTAGAACCGGCATAGTTAGTAGTGAAACTGAAAAAGATACTATTTGTTTTTGGATTACTTGCTAGCAATTAAAAACAAATACCAGTAACCTAAAAATAGATGTGATAGTAATAAAAGTTAAAACGATTTGCTGTCATACTCAACGATGTGTTTATGTCATAACAGTATATGTGAGTGAATGTTTCATTATTTCACAATGCCAGATTAGTATTTTTAAATGCTCTCTCTCTCTGTTTTAAGTTTAGCATGGATCTATTGAGATTTGCCAGACACTGTATGTACATTGCATGGCTTGGCTTCTTATGGAGGAGTACAGCAGACCAGCCCAGCCTGACAGACCACCTGCAGACAGCCAATGGACTATCCGGTAGGAAATCATCATTCAGTTGAATCACTCTGTGTTATTTCCCATGTTTTATGTGTCTGTATAGTGTAAATTTTATGTGTTACATAATCCCAGTGGAACAGTGTTTGTTGTAGAGAGAAATGGCGGTATATGATATACACTGTTCTTATGTGTGCTGCTAGATAAGATAAAGCGCTTCCCTTGTTTAGTCCTCATGGGTGATGATGTCAAACCAGTCTTTCACAATCCATATGCTGCACTTACAAAATTATGTGTCAGGATGCTGGAATTAAAGGAACAGTTCACCCAAAAATTAAAAAATAGCTGAAAATGTACTCACGCTTAAAGGGATAGTTCACCCAAAAATGAAAATTCTGTCATTAATTACTCACCCTCATGTCGTTCCAAACCCGTAAGACGTAATCAGCGTTGTTTATGTTCAGCATGCGCACGCTATGTACTGAACATAAACAGCGCTGATTACATTGATTAAGTTCTGGGGTGCTCTCCAAAATGGTGGAAGACGGTAACTCGGAGAGAAGAATTGTTGAATAAATTATGTTATTATTGTTTTCTTTGAGCACACAAAGTATTCTCGTAGCTTTATAAAATTACGGTTGAACCACTGATGTCACATGGACTATTTTACTGATGTCCTTACTACGTTTCTGGACCTGGGAACATTGCAGTTGCATTGCTGTCTACAGAGAGCTCTCAGATTTTAAAAAAATATCTTAATTTGTGTTCTGAAGATGAACGAAGGTCTTACGGGTTTGGAAAGACATGAGGGTGAGTAATTAATAACAGAATTTTCATTTTTGGGTGAACTAACCCTTTAAGCCATCCAAGATGTAGATGAGTTTGTTATGTCATCAGAACAGATTTGGAGACATTTAGCATTACATCACTTGCTCACCAATAAGTCCTCAGCAGTGAATGGGTGACGTCAGAATGAGGGTCCTAACAGCTGATAAAAGTATTGCAATTATCCAAAAGTAATCCAGTCCATCAATTAACATCTTGTGAAGCAAAAATGTATGTTTTGTAATAACCATATTTAGCATTTTTATCTTGCTTTGAGATAAAATACAAGTCCTCTATCCATAACATTGTTTAACCCATTGAAAAAGTTGTCTCGTGTAAATCAGGAGATAAATATGCACTGATCAAGCAGCATTTAAAAGCCAAAACAGTTCTAAGCAAATATGTCATTGTATGTTAATGTGAAGGGAAAACAGGGAATGGACTTTTTCACTGGAGGAAGCGTTATTATGGATTATACACTGGTATTTTGGCCAGAAGCAATGGTTTAACGTTAAAATGCCTTAATGATGGATTTGTTTCTTACTAACACACATTTTCAGTCTACAAGATGTTAATTAATGGACTGGAGTGTTGTGGATTATTGAGATTTTTGTATCAGCTGTTTAGACTCTCATTCTGACGGCACCCATTCACTGCAGATGATCCTTGGTGAACAAGTGATGCAATGCTAAATTTCTCCAAATCTGTTCCAATGAAGAAACACACTCATCTTGGATGGTCAGAGGGTGAGTTTGAGCAAATTTTCATTTTTTTCTTCAAGGAGAATGAAGTATTAGATGCAGGAGGTTTTCTTTAGCAAATGCACAGAGTGACATAAATGCCTCCCAGACTGCTGGAGTATGTCACCCTCGCAAGTTTTGTTTTCCATCAAAGTGTCCTCTTGTGCTTTGACACTAATGTTCAGTTTCCACTTAACAGACTGATCCTCTTCCTGTCATGCACCTTCACCAGTAGGCAGACTGTAGTCTACTCAAAACTCTTGAAAGAATAAAACATACAGTAGACCTTGTGAAAAGATTGGAAAAAGAAACACTCTTATATATTAAACAGCGGCATTGGCAATCTTGCTATTTTACTCTTCCAAACTTCAACTCCTTTTTAGGCCCCGTCCACACGGAGACGCGTTTAGCTGTATACGAAAATTTATCGTTTAGACGGATCTGGCGTTTTGGGAGAGTGAAACCATTTTTTGGGGGGAGGGGGCCCGGTTGAAACCTGGGTCCCAGAGTGGATAAATCTCAAAACGACACCCTTGCAGTTTCGTGTGTACAGCCATTTTGTGAAACGATGTCATCACCCCACGTCTCGCCCCTAGTTAGACACCGCTATGTCATGTAACAACAACAACAACATGCACAAACACTGAACGAACACAGATTAATAAATGCATTGTTCCATGTTCGTTTGCATACAGCGTGCAAGGTTAATGCTTAAGGCTGATTTATACTTCTGCGTCGGACCTACGCCGTAGCCTTTATGCCGTAGGCTATGCGTCAGTTTTCATTTATACTTCTGCGTCGTTGTCCGCGTCAACGTGCAGTACACATGCAAACCGCTAGTCTGCAGTGTCCACGGGCATGTTGCTGGTGTAACCCGCAGTACCACGGAAAAAGCCGAAGAAGAAGCAGCTCGTCGGCATTATAGCCGTGACGGCGGCAAATAAATATCAAATCATTAAATCATTATTTAAAACTACAAAAAGGAGACAACAACGGAACAGGAGATGATGGCATTCTTTCAATCTGCACAAGGACTTGTACCACGGCAGATCAACATTGTTTGTTGCGGACAACTACTGATGTATAATGCTATGTAGTATAATAAATGATAAGACACTTGTTCTTTGCTTTGTTTTATTTTATATAAGAAGGTGTAACATTAAAATATATTAAAGTGCACATAAACACACACAAACCTCAAGTACATATGGAGGGAGGGGTTCTTGCAGACCAATCACAGCGCTTGCGGTCCGTGTAGAACTGACGCACTGTTAGATTTTTGGAGAGGTGCACGTCAGGCTACAGCGTATGGGTGTGCGTCTATGCGTAAACTACGGCGTAGGTCTGACGCAGAAGTATAAATCAGCCTTTATAGTCCAAGTCTTCTTCTCCGTTTTTAGTGTATCTCTGTGGCAGAATTACAGTGCCACATACTGGTCTGGCATGTACACTTCATCGTTTTGTGTCGGTTTCGTGGTTTCGTGTGTACGCAGATATTTCTTGAGATGAAGATCTGCCTTCGTGTGGATGTAGCCTAGTCTCATTGCTCAGAAAAGAATAAACCCTCTACATCCTATGGCTTTCTGAATACTGTGATTTTAGCTGCCAGTCTGGTGTGCAGTGACCTTTAAAGGTGCTGTATGTAGGATTGACACCGAGTGGTTGAACTAGGTATTGCAGTCCAAATTCAATATATTTTAGAGAGTTTTTTCACCCGGCCCCCCCTCCTCAGAATTGAGCACACGCAGGTTGCCAGATTGACGACACCAACAGGAACATATCTGCAAACATATTATGGTATTTTTATGCTTTAGTAGAGTCAAAAACTTACATACAGCACCTTTAAGGTCAGTTTTCAATGGTCAGTTAAGTGGGTTTTTCATGGTCTTGACTTTGGGAATCACTCAAATCTTCCAGAAGGGTTCTGTCTGTTCCTGATTCTGATAGACACTTCACAGGCGTGACCAATGGACTGGAGAGTTACTGACGTTTTCGGTTACTATTTCTGTTGTTCTAGTTATTAGTTTATAGTAAGTCACTTAAATAAATATTTAAATCAAGCTGCCTTTAAAGTGCTTTCAGAGGTCATCATCTATTTTCCCAGGCCCCCTGCCTCACTGGGGTTAATTCTAAATGGGCTTCTCTTTCGTCTTTGAGGTGGATCTCTTTGCATGCATCTGGAAAAGGCTCTAAATTGCATGTATTACATCCAGGGCTGTGTTGACTTTATCCAACTGTTTCAGAAAAGGACTTAGCATCTCAGCTCCTAGTGGAATGCCTTCCCCAGAACATTTCTCCTTTTATAGGAAATGGTGGGAATAATAAGATTTTCAGTGTTATCTCCCTTTGAAATTGAGAGCTGCAAAGTTGGACCACTGTGGAGATTGTTTTATTGGAATGCAAAATGACACATTACATTTGTTATTCCGGGTTCAATACAAGCTCAATCTGAGCATTTGAGCATAATGAAGATTACCACGAAAATAATTTCTACCCAAGACTTCTTTTCTGAAATTGAGGTGTTTTGAAGGCTTTAAAAGCAGAAATGTGAAGCATTAAAGTTTTCTGTTAAAACATCTGTATTATTTGAGCTGTAAAGCTGTTTAAATCATTTTTTCCGTCACATTAGGGTTTAGCTGTTGTGTTATCATGGCAACGACTTGTAAAATTTCATATAATGTAACTTTACACAGTAAAAGTTAATAAGCCATTTTCACACTAAAATCTTATTAATTCACCTATTATTTATGTCTTGTGGCTGTACTAATAAAAAACTGTGCATCTTAATCCTTTATAAATTGGCCTCATTTTTTTTAAAGCAATGTATGTATGAGTCAGAATAAATTTTTGTGGTAATCAACAGTCGATTGATCTTGATCTTGAACCCAAATTACTACATTAAATAGAAAAACAATGTTAACCATAATATTTTCAGCATTACCACACAATTAGTAATATTTGATCCACTGCTATGTATAAGTATTCAAACCTCTAGTGTGCATTGTGTAAATTACCCGTCTGATCTTGACATGTGTGTGACTTCATGCAGCTGGGCCATAGGACAATATTGAAGGGTCTTTTTACAACAGCTCTGTAAATCCTCAAGGCTCCACAAAATCTGACTGTCGTCTCAGATCTTTTTAAAGGTCCCCGCCATCCAGTGAAGCAGACCAAACCTCCCTCCATTTTTTCCTCTCCTCTCCTGATCCTAGGCCTCTCAATTTCCCTCATTCTCCTACAAAGTAATGCTCTAACCAGAGATACAGGAAAAGAAATGGCGGAAATTGATTGTCTTAAACGAGACATTCATTGCCTCTAGGATTTTATCACATTCTAACAGCAGCTTGCTTCAATGTGTCCTGGCTGTTCAAGGGGCACTTCACCCAAAAATACATTTCTGTCATAATTTACGCAAGTCATGTCATTCCAAATCCATATGGCTTTCAATATAAATTAGTAAAACTCATTAAAACAAAAAATTAGCAACAAAAATGCATTTATTTAAAACTGAATGTATTCAAAGATCCAACTAACCTTTAGTAAAAAACTCCAGAATTTTGACCTTACTGGCTTTCCATAGTCCAATGCACTTTGTACACTGATGTTTAATGTCATTGACTGAGCATTTGTGTTTGTTTAGAAGTTAGTAGGCTGTTATAGTGTTTGCCTCTGAGACAAAAATAGTTTCTGGATTTGCTCGAGTTTGTAAGTTCCATGACAACATGGTTTAAAAACCTGCAAGTAGCCAGGCTTTTGTCTTAAAGTTAAGCTACAGGAAATACTTTGCAACTGCACCGTCTGTGTTCCACAGAAGAGTTTGTTGATGACAGAAATGATAACAGAACTTTATGGGGAGTGAACTGAATCTGGCTGTATGTCAGATGATATCTTAAGTGAATCGGGTGGAGGGAATGCATACAGGGAATTCAAGGATAATATGTGAGGACATTTCTGAGATCGTCTACTTTGTTGTTTCTTCTCATGCATATCTGATGCCTCTTTCTCAATTAAAATCAATGGCAAAATTGGTCTGTCTTGCTTCTTAAATAGGTAAATCTATGCCATTAACTTTACTTGTACCTGTTGCACATGTGACTGCTTGATCTGGGTCTGGTTAGCTCAGTTAAGTTAGCAAGCTAAACTGGATGTGGTGTCAACATTTGCAAACGGTTTTCTCTGAGTCATTATGTTTCTTAACATGCAGAAACCCAGTGAGTGCTAATGTGTATGTGTGATGACAAGTGCTTTTTGAAGAGTTGCGGTTGTGGCATGTTTGTTTAGTGGTTTTGCACTGACACTACTTTTTTTTTACCTTCTGTGAAATGGGGACAAAAATAGCTGTGCAGATCTTATGACCTTAAAAGCTTCTTTTATCAAAATGGATCAGCCTGAAAGAACACCATTTAATCATGGACTTGTAACATAGGCATTTTTAATTGTATCCACTCTTAGCTGTAAAATGTCAGATGAGCCCGGTTAAAAAAAAGCTTGGAATAGTTGATTTCTTAAGTTAATACCTGCTCCATAATCAGGTCTTTTAATTCTGTGAGACAAAGGTTAACTCCAGGACATCCACTCCTGCACACCGCCATATAACAGCAATATCTACAATACCTCAGAAGCTGTGTTGTGTCTCCATCAATAAATAGTTTAAAAGTCACTCTATGGCTCTTACGTGGATATGTTACCAACTGTATGAGCGTCACCCTCAAATTGATCTCTCCTGTTACAGTGGGCTCAAATATTGGGCCCTTACAAAGGCACCGCTGTTGGCTCAGTTTTCAGCTGTACATCATCACTAAGTCATCAGTTCCTTATCCTTACTTAGTTTCCAAACTCTATAGACAAGTACAGTTGGCGTTTTTGCTGGTGAAATGACAGATACCCTTTTTAATGAGTCTGAATTTGATTTAAACATTACCCATCGATGATGCATGAATTTCACTGAAGGGACTAAATGAAAGTCATTTTCATTTCAAGGTAATTTGGGTCTGAATAGGCCTTTTGTGCTCTTGAAGAAGGCTTTTAACTTGGCTTTTTTGTGCAGTTTATAATAGATACAGTAAGACACTCCAGATTTTTCTGTTTTTTGTATGCAATTGTATGTTGCTTAAGAAGCAAATTTGCCCAGAATGATTGCAATGAGTTAGTGCATATTAGCTGTGTTGCAAAACACAGTTAACTGTGTACAATTAATGCAATTTGTAGTTAACATCTTATTAAGCTAACAGTGTAATACTTCAATAGATATTTCAGTGCAGTGACTAGGTTCCAAAATGAAAAATCCCATTGATTATGTCAACGTATTTTTTTAAATAATCGTGTTGTCATCATCCATGATTCTGCAAAGAAATATCCACCAATCAATAATCACCAATTACAGTATGTGCCGTTCAGTTTGGTTGTTCACAATACTTCATGGGATTGTAGTTCTTTCCCTCATTAAAGCCATTAAGTAGCCTACACAGCCTTGTAACTTTGTCTTTTTGTTTGATTGTTTTTTTTAAATGCCAAGTTCTGTCATGAAACTCTTGATGTTGCCGGCTGATGGGTCGTTTACGCAAGCTGATGATATTCACAGCGTTAAACTACTTGGCACAAGCTGATTGGTTCATGTTGCATACGCAGCCAATGAGCTTGCTGCTTTACATTTAAATAGCTGGTTAGCATTCGCTAGAGCAGCTCACAGCACGCTTTCAAAGTTCCTCCGAAACCCTCCACCTCCCCAGCTCCACCTGTATAGATCTGTTACAGGTTATTTTTTTATGGGTTTTGTGCAGCAGCAGTATGCCTTACACCATGTCTACACCGGACGCGAGTGGCGCGGCACAACAAAATACTATAGAACTCATTATAATCAGTGATGCTCTCTACACTGGATGTGGCGCAGCGCAACACGACAAATCCCCGACAGTAAACTGCTGCCTCGTTCTATTTATGACTTACTGACACAAAGTTCAAATGATCTGCAACTGTCGTTTTGTCGCGTCCAGCATATAGACAGACTTTAGCTGTTGCAGCACGGGGCAACACATCAATTGTTGCGTCTGGTGTAGACACGGTCATAAATACTCATAGCACTGTATCAGTGTATGTATTGGCAGTAGCAAGTTACTGTACTTGCTTTGCAGTAATCTAAAGCAGCAGTGTAGCAGATCTATTTTGCCAAGACCGAATACATTAACATTATCATATCCATTACCATGCTAAAATCTTCAGAGAGTTGTCATGATAGAAATAATATTTTGCTTCAAATCAGAGTTTGCAATGTCGTGATTCATCTCATAGATAGTTAGATTGGTTGGTTCACACCTTGTAGCGTTTTAACTTTGGTTATACTTAGACTTGTGCCGGTATTCGGTAATGCAATATATCATGGTAATGAATATGTACGATATTGTTATCGTGGGCACTTCTAAATACCGTGAATAATTATATATTACAAATTATTCAGAATTTTGAATGCATTTTAAGAATACTTTTCCCATAAACTGGTCAAAATGCACAACACCGCTGTATACATTTTTCTGTATTGCTTTATTGCATTTAAATGTTCAGTTATTTTTGTTATAAGAAAAAAGTTATTAAACCTGTTATACTGTATTATGACAGCACTTTTTTTAAACTTAATTTCAATATCGTGATAATACCGTATACTGTAATAAAAGCATTAGCAATTAATCGCAACATGAAAATTTGATACCTTTGATAATTTGATACTATATATTTAGACTTTTTGAAAATATCTGTGGGGAAAAATACAAAGGCCGCCAAGGCTGAAACATCTAAGTGTATTTGTTCTAATAAGTGTATTTCTTGTCTGCCATCTTGGATGTATTTTTCACTAAGCTTCACATATTGAAATATGGTATTGTGTTCTTTGAATACATGCAATGCTGCCATAGAGTTTGGTCAATATCTTGGGTGGCAGTTATTTTGGCTACCTTGTGGTACAGTGGTCATGTTGCTTAAAATGATCCCTCTGTTAACTTACTAGGTTTTGTAACATAGCAATTGTGTAAAAAAGTGGACTTGTCTTATATATGGCTTTTTTCTCTCTTCAGAACTGTGTGGTATCGATGAGCTTCTTTGCCATGATGAAAACGCTCTGCTAAGTTTCGAGGCCATCCGCAGCATTCACAAAGACATGGACGATGATGCAGACGGCAGCGTGGACGTGACAGAGACGGATGGGGTGAGGGCTGCAGCATTTGTGTGTGGTTTTGTGGTCTGCTGTGTTGAGAGGTTGACGTTGCAGCACAGTGCACTGTGCCCAATGTACAAACAAGTGCTTGCTTGAAAGGACACAGTGGCTTTTGGCTTGCTTACTAGAGACATAGATCTCTGTAAAGCTACTTTGAAATATGTATTGTCAAAAGCGCTTTACAAATACTTGACAGTACGACAGTGCAGCACAGTGAAGTACAACATACTGGCTTGCGGTGTACAGCTGTACTGGTACAAGTCTGAGTATGTTGCAAAACTTTTACAGAGAAGAAGAACATACATTACACGTTGTTATAGGGTTTTTTCATCTTTCAACTGTGATTTTTAAATGGGGAATATGTCTTTTTTATTATACATTTATAATTTTCAATAATAAATGTAGAGATTAAAACTTTTTTAAACTTTTGGGGTCTGAAGCTTTTTTTTAAAACAAATGAATACTAAAAATAGTAAATGAATACTAAAAAGTAAAACTTTTTAATCTTTGATAATAATAAATGTTTCTTGAGCACCAAATCTGCATATTAGAATGATTTCTGAACGATCATGTGACACTGAAGACTGGAGTAATGATGCTAAAAATTCAGCTTTGCCATCACAGGAATAAATTACATTTTAAAATATACATTATTAAAATATTTTCAATTGGTAATATCTCACAGAATTACTCTTTTTACTGTATTTCTAAAATATAATAAATGCAGGCTTTGTGAGCATAAAAGACTAAAAAAATAACTTTTCAATTTTTTTTCTTTCAAATTGTACTCACCCCAAACTTTTGAATAGTGATTATGTATTTTTGGTATGTTTTTTTTTTTTTTTTTTACTTAACTCATAGTAGTTATAGTCATAGTAGTTTGTGATAGGTGGGTGGAATTGTATGTTTAAAGCAAATGATCTTTGGAAAGTGTGACTCGATTGGACTCGATTTAGATGAGTGATTGCTGTCACTACATTTCAGACACTTTGGTACAATATGTTTTTTTCTATAATATTTTTTACAATAATCATGCAACCTAATTATCAAAGATACAAACTCTTTTTTGGGGGGGAAAAAGGAAATTCAAAATCCATTTTTGGATCTGCCTGTCACCATCAGTTTGATGGGCATGACACTTTTGCATGCAAACAAAAGTGATTCGCCATGATTATGGGTTATGAACATAGGCTATAAAAAGAACTCTGTATTCTCTTTGAATCACCCAAAGCGATTCCTTTTTCATGAGAATGTCACATCTGAGCACTCTGAGTAAACAGTATTACTGCTGACCGACAGCAGCCCGCCCAAGGCCATAGACAGTCCTGTGAGTGTAACCTTTACCACAGTCAGAGCTGATCTGAGGGATCGTGAAGCGACTGGACCCAGTGAAACTGTCAGCATTTACATAATGTAGGTTGTCTGAGGCTCTACAGTAGAACTACTGGATCACAACAACCCAAGACAAACATTACAAGTTAATCAACTGTTTGCTGTGGCTTTACGTCTCTTGCCAAATGTTGAATTATGCAAATACACAGTGCTGTAAAAATAAATTTCTTCTAGAAGCACAAACAATCAAGTCTAGACTAGCATATGACTGTTTTACTGCTAAGATCTGGGTGCTGGATTTTTCTCCTTGCATTTGCAAATTGTTATGCCTATTTATTTTTGCAATACTTAATAAACATGTTTATACAGTTGCATTCACGATTTTTTTACCAGCTGCATGTGACCCTATCAGAACAAACTGTGACCCATTTTTGAGTCGCAACCCATCAGATGAGAACCACCACATCAGAGAATTCTAACATCCTGTCTTTGTTTCCTCAAACAGTTTCTAAGGGAAGACTTGAAGTACCAAGATCCTAAAGGAAAACACAACAGCTTCCATAGAGCAGATATGCTGATCACAGTGGAGGACATGTGGAATTCCTGGAAGGCCTCTGAAGGTTTGCACACATCTCATCAGGCTAATTATTTCAGTGAAAAGCATTTAACCATTTTAAAGTCATTTTAAAATCATCCCAGATAGTCCACATTATAAACCCACACCACCTTACCTGCATGTAGAAGTGAAAGCATTATGTTTGTGGAACTGAAAGCATCAAGCTTCCATCATTTGTTCAATATATCTTCCATGGCAATATTCTCAGTGTCCTCTTGCACCCTAAACCATTATTTTTTCATTAACATCAACCATTTTTTCATTAACTGTTCCCTCCTGGTGGAATGACCTGCCCAAATCAATCCGAGCAGCTGAGTCCTTAACCATCTTCAAGAAACGACTAAAAACACATCTGTTCCACCTTTATTTGACCCTCTAACTCTAACACTTTCTATTCTATTTTAATTCTACTTTATCTATATCTTCTTTTTTTATTTTATTTTTATTTTAATTTTAAAAAACAACAACAAAAAACAAACAAACACTGGCTTTCTATTTTTTCTATTCTATCTACTTGTTTTTCTTTGTGTGTGTGTGTGTATATGTGTGTGTGTATAATATATATATATATATATACACCTTGCTACGTGTACTGCGTTAGGCTAACCGAGACTTGTCATTTGCACTTATATATTGTTGCTCTTTTGTTAGTTTTGACCAGTGTTGGGTGTAACGCATTATAAGTAACGTGAGTTACGTAATCAGATTACTTTTTTCAAGTAACTAGTAAAGTAAGGCATTACTTTTTACTTTTTCAAATAAGTAACGCAAGTTACTTTTTTTCACATTTGTAAGTCGCTTTGGATAAAAGCGTCTGCTAAATGACTAAATGTAAATGTAAATGTAAACCACTAGCGGCACTTAACGATTTTTTTGTCTGTAGTGTATAGCTGGACAGTAGAGGAAGCTGAAAAGTGGCTCATCAACTGTGTGGAGTTACCTCAGTATGTTGATTCCTTCAGGAAGAATGACATCAGTGGAAAAGCTCTGCCCAGGTGAGGAAGCGTACAGCATCTCTAACGTTAGTTTTTCAGCTTTTGGACTGAAGTGAATTCGGTGATCAAGATGGTTCCATTCACAGACTTGCTGTAAAAAATGCCACCCTGCTTCTGTCCGTGCTGAAGATACCAGACCGCAGTCATGCACAGAAACTACAGCTGAAGGCTCTGGACACAGTGCTTTTTGGATCTCCAAGTGAGTAGCATATATTTGTGGTTATATATTATACTGTATATGTTGTCTCATGACTTTTTAAATAGTGTCCCTGATTTAAACTCAAGTAGCAAAAGTAGGCAAGATTAGGTATTATTGATTCAATTGAAACTGTCCACTTTAATGAAAAAATTCTAATGCATTGGCAAGAGTTGGTCATTTTGATTCATTTCCGTGAATCAGTTCAAACTGTCCATTTAAATTGATTAATTCAGATTTTTTTTGGCAGTAGTTGGTAAGTTTGATTCATTTCAATGAATGAGTTTGATTACTGCCCATTTAAATTAATCTTTTATGATTCATTGGCAATACGTTTGATTCATTTCTGTAAATGCTTTTGAAACTCTCCATTTGAATCAATCATTTCTGATTCAGGGGTGAGATTTTGAAAGATTCATTTCTGTGAATCAGTTTAAACTGTCCATTCTAATTAATGAATTAACTTAATTTTGATTCATCTGCAAGTTTTGGAAAGATCACTTCATTTCTTTTAATGAATTAATTCTTATTGACAAGAATTGGTATTTAATTAATTTCTGTGAATCATTTCAAACTGTCCATTTGAATTAATTCTGATTTATTGGCAAGAGTTGGTAAGATCGATTCATTATTGTGAATCAGTTAGTCAAATGATCAGTGAGAGCAGAACGAATGTGTCACACGTTTTAAACTCAACAAAATGGTAAAATACATATATCAAGAGCATGTTCACAGATGAGAACAAAACAGCGTTGGATGAAGTGGATTAGATGAAAAAAAGCTTATACTACTGTTTCAGCTATTAAAATAGTTCAGTTTTGTATGTAATGGAAACGTGATTATATTTCGTTTCGTTTTTTATAAAGTAAATTTAGAAAAACGTTTGGAGCATTTTTTGTTTCATTTTTAATAAAGTTAATTTAGAAAAACGTTTGGAGCATTTTTTGTTCGTTAATATGTAAGTGTTTTTAAGTAACGGCCAGCGGCAGACAGTGAATTGATCATAGCCTATATGTTTGGTCAATTTAGCCTTCTCAAATCATCACGACTTGCCTAAAATAAAATCTATCGATATAAAACAGTTCAAGCATATCACGATGTTAGTTTAAGTGTTTAACCTAGATAAATGCGCAGAGAGTGGAAGCTGAAGCGCGCTCTGCAGGACATGGAGGCGCCAGCGCGATCACTTGCATTTTTTTCTAACAGTGGAAACAACTTAATACGCAGTCATTTTTGCTCATAAAGGTAAGAATAATGCATCATTCCAAACTGTAAAGAATTTGCGTTTTATTTTATAATTCCGTACAATTAAAAAATAAAACACAAATTATAATGGCATATGTGTAAAACTTTGTCCTATAAATGTATAGCTGTTTTTTCTGATTTTTATGTTGCTCTGTTCTGAATTCCTGAAAATTTAAAGGATTTACTGCAACGCAATTTTGTATGATATGTGAATTATTTATTAGCCCTTTTTTTTTTACCCATGCAGCAAATGCTTTAAAAACAGCTTTAAAATTACTTTATTGCATTCCAGACGCTTTTATAGTACTTTTCACTATAAATTTTACGGGTAGCTCGAATGTAAACATTATCATGAATTCGTTGTATTCCCATTTGTAAAATAGCCAACAAATTAATTGTTGCTGTTCAGTCGACAGAAATATGGGACACACAGGCCTATGATAACTGCTGAAATGTTTGCGGGGTAAATCTGAGGTCAGTCTGAGCGCTCATGGTACTCAGTGCCGTACACCTGCAGGCGCCACTGACTCGGACGGTTGTTGTGGTAATAAACACCGTAAACAGCAATCGTTGTCTTGTCAGCGCTTAATGCGCATATCCTATATGAAAAGCATTTTAGGGGGCCCTTGGCTTTTGGGGGCCCAAGGCGGTCGCCTACTTTTGCCTAATGGGTAAGTCCGCCCCTGGTTAGTTACAAATGACACATAATCAAACAGACGGTGAACACTATTAACTGCAATGATTATATGTTGCGATTAAACTTTGCGACTGCGATTAAACGTTGTGATTAAGCTAAATTTGGTAGTTTTATGTTGTTCAGGGTTAGCATCATCTGAGGTCTTCTGGGGGGTTGGCATCATCTCTTCTCAAGTGTTCGGTCATCTCAGATCTCCGTAAGGGTTGGATCCAGACAATTTATCCATTTAATAAGTTATTTGCTTTACCTTTCAACTGAATTGTTGGAACAATTTTCTTAATTCTACTTCCTGTTTTAGAGGTTTTAGAAAAACACTAGCTTGGAAATGTTCTGTGAGGCATAACAAGTTTTCTGGGATGGTGTTTGCAGAGGGTTCTCTGGATGAAGTCCAGACTGCTGTATTCATTGCTCGTTACGTGCTGAAATCAAGGGAAGGTTTAGTCTGTTTTCTTTTCTCATGAGCAAATATCTTCTGCATCTGAAAATAGCCAGGCTTATTGGAGTACAAGAGCCAGACAGAAGAGGTATTAATGTCAACCGTTACAGCGTGATACTGAAGTACAGCTGGTGAAACAGAGAAGCGAGGGATGATGGGACAGATGTTATCAATAAATAGGTGAGAGACCTGGAAAAGGTTGAGTGCGTTCATATGATTGACAATTCATGTGAATGTCTTTACCTAGAACATCAGCCAAAAACATCAGTCAAAGCTGTTAATGATGTTGGTGGTACGAAAAGTGCTTTTGTAACGGCATTAGACACAACATCTTAAAGGGATAGTTCACCCAAAAATGAAAATTCTGTCATTAATTAGTCACCCTCATGTCGTTCCGAACCCGTAAGACCTTTGTTCATCTTCTGAACACAAATTAAGATATTTATGGTGAAATCCGAGAGCTTTCTGACCCTGCATAGACAGCAACATAACTGACACAATTCAAGGCCCAGGAAAGGTAGTAAGGACATCGTTAAAATAATCCATGTAATTTTATGAAACTACAAGAATACTTTTTGTTTGCAAAGAAAACTAAAATAACAGCTTTATTCAACAATTTCTTCTCTTCCCTGTAAGTCTTCGACACACATTCACGATAGTACCACACATTTTATAGTTACTATAAAATACTCATATATGAGAAGTAAAAAACAACAACATAATATCGTAATATAATTGAAGCTAAATATTTTCCAAATAATATTTTAGAAATATTTATATTAGTGATTTTTCACATTTTAAATTTATTTTAATCTTTAAGCAAGAAACTATAGATGCCTTTAAAATTTTGAGATCGGGGTCCCAAGCATGAGAATGATCGTTTTTGGTGGGCCGCGACATCCATAAACACCCTCGTGCTGAGTGATTGCTAGGTGGTAGTTTACTAGCAAAGTCTAGCTCTCTGTTTGAAATAAAATTGGTTGACTTTTTATTTTTTCATTTGAGGGAGGCTTTGTGTTTGGTTAACAATATTAAAAAAAAATGTTTGGAGCGTTGTGTTTTTTGTAAAGTCAAATTAATTGAAGGAATTTGATGTAATCACTTTATATACTGTATAAATATACCAATACGTCTGTGAATTGTCTGGTCTGTCGCCGATTGGTTGATCCGTCCCGGTTCCAGATTCCGTCCAGAGCCTCTTAATAATCTCAGCTATGGCAGTTATTTGCCTCTCCGGTCACTGTTTATACTGTCCACGGTAGAAGGTTCCTCACTATTCCAGACGATCTTACAATAGTGTCTCATGGTGTTGTATCTACTAATGGAAAATCAGCCTAGTGTCTGTTTACAAATTTTAGCTTTAGCACTTACACATGAAGAAATGAGGACGCTCTGCCATCCAAAATCCCTAGACTTGGTCAAAGATTATGTATGCAAACAAAACACTCCTTTATGTACATTCATAGAGCTCTTTTATCAAACACTAGTGAAAAGAAAATCCAAGACGGAAGTTCATCATGTGCTGGCTTCAGTAAACCCACAGGAGATTTAACCTGAGCCCAAATCAAGCCGGTTAGGATGGGTGAGCTTCAAGGTTGAAGGATTCAACACCGTCCACTCACAAATACTTTTGGCACCGCTACATGTCCCGTCACCTGCCATTTTCCTGGGCAGGATCTGAGCAGCGAAATCGCAGATGGAAATAGCTCTTGCTAATCCAGTCATCCAAATCATCCCATTACACAGCTGATGCCGCCACCATTGTGGGGAACACCTCTCTGGAGTTATTTATTGCCGTCATTTCTGCATGCAAAATAGATTAAGACAGATGTGATAGAGAACTGCTGCTGTGTATATGTGTCCTGCATGGTTAGATCCTAACTGGGAGCATTTCATTAGCATTTCATTCAAGTAGATTACTACTTGTTTGGATTACTGTTCTTGCTAAAAGCGGTATGTGCGTGTGTTTTAAATTTGTATCACAATGTTGTGCAACAGCCACATATGTTAGGCTGGAGTTGTAGAGACAGGAAGACAATCAGCCTGAGCAGACCCTAATTTGATGTATTACTCCTGCCAAAAAATCCTGGGCGCTTTTCCATATACCTTCTTCATACTCCTGGGCTTGTGATTTTGTTAGTTCATAGAAAGGCAAGTCAGTCCACACTTGCATATCCTGGTAAAGTCTGTTTTAAAAAGAATATTCTGGTTTTATTTGTCATGTTTAACTGCGATATATTCAATTTTTTTGGTTGACATGATGAAAGCATCCACGACCCATTAGTCAAATACTTTAACTGTTTTATTTTGGTATGAAAAACAACAATGAAAATGGACGTTAACAGAAGATTGCAGACATAAGCATTGGAAAGAAAACACTAATTTGCTTCGGCCATGTCAGGGTCAGCTGGGGTCACGAATGGAATGTATGTTGAAAAAGAGTCATAATTCCCACATGACAGCACTGTCTTTAGACTATGATACACTAGTGCATACAGCACTGTGTACATTCATTCATACACTACTGTCACTGTTATTTAAAGAAATTAATACCTTTATTCAGCAAGGATGCATTAAAATGATCAAAAGTGACAGAGTGAAGACATTTGTAATGTTACAAAGAATTTCAGTTTTTTTCAAATGAATGGTTTTTTGAACTTTCTATTTATCATAGAATCATCATAAAATTCACAAAAAATACTCAAAAATATTAAGCAGCTCAACTGTTTTTAGCCTTGATAGTTATAAGAAATATTTATTGAGCACATCATCATATTAGTATGATTTCTGAAAGATGTGTGACACTGAAGACTGGAGTAATGATGCTGAAAATTCAGCTTTGCCTCCACAGGAATAAATCACATTTTAAAATATATTAACTAAGAAAACTATTTTTACTAACTATTTTTTAAATTGTAATAATATTTCACAATATTACTGTTTTTATTGTGTTTTTGATCAAATAAATGAGGCCTTGATGAGCATAAGGGACTTCTTTCAAAAACTTTAAAAAAAATCTTAACAACCCCAAACTTTTGAACTGAATATAGAAAATGCCAAAGACACAGATTGGGGGAAATAAAAAAAACGGAGAATATAATATGATGTCCATGGTTAATAGGTGCTTTCATTTTACAGAAAAGAGCAACATCAACATTCAGCTGAACCTCTCTTGTGTTTTACAGAAGAAAAAAAAAAAGTTTGGAACAATATGATAGTGAGCAAATGATGACAGAATTTTAATTGTAGGGTGGACAATCAACTTTATTGTTCCTCAAGTGTTGTTGTTGTTGTTTTTTTTGTTGCTCTTTTTGGCAGTGAGCAGACACAGTCACTTGAAGGACTTGATGCTGGTGGTGTCTATCATCATTGGAGTGGGGGGCTGCTGGTTTGCCTACATCCAGAACCGGAATTCTAGGGACCACGTTGGCAAGATGATGAAGGACTTCGAAGGGCTTCAGAGAGCTGAGCAGAGCCTGCTGGACCTGCAGCAGAAGTAAGCACTCAGTTTGTATTATAAATGAACAGGAAACAGGCTTACAGCAAAAAGCAGCTAAGAGGCCGGAAGGGCTTTAAAGTGGAGCTGTGAGGCTCATATTTCATGATGCACAGTTTAAAAAAATTTCTTCTAAATCATCTTATTGAGGCAGGACTACTTTTCTAGATGGAGGAACGTCTGTTTGTAAGTTAGCAATGAATTTCTGTTGGTTGAATTTGAAGAACTGTATTGTAAACAGTCTTTCACAGATGGTTACATCACATCTGAAGCAAAAGAAAAAAAAACAAGATTTACTTTTTAACTGGTCCATGACATCACAGGATTGCTAAGTGACTTTGTCAGGTCTAGTCTCATGCTAACACGTTAGGGTGATTAATTGCATATTTTAAATGTTTATTCACAGTAAAGCCTGTTGTAGTTACCGTAAACACCTCCACTACACAGTGAGGGATGAATATGAATATGTCTGTGGTAATCAACAGCTTGCCACAGTTAAGTTTGAAAATAACCTAGAAAATACCTTTATTTTTGTTACTGATTGAAAGTACATTTAGTCTGGTTTCTGAATTAGGAGCAGCTATACTTAGTATCGTCAAATGTTTATTTTTATTTGAAATGCTAGTCCGTTCCAAACATCCTGGATGATGAAATATTAGGACATAGAGGCTTTAACAGTGTTACCAGATTGGAAATGTCTGAGTATCGTACCAGAAGCTCAAAATTATCGTATTTGGAAGAAAATTGTCGTACACGAGTCAAATGTAAAGAATACAGCTATTTATCTAGACCAACATGTATTGGTTGTTTTCCATGGCAGCTAGTCTTAAAGGGATAGTTCACCCAAAAATGAAAATTCTGTTATTAATTACTCACCCTCATGTCGTTCCAAACCCGTCAGACCTTCGTTCATCTTCGGAACACAAATTAGGATATTTTTGATAAATTCCGAGAGCTCTCAGACCCTCCCATAGACAGCAAGGATTCTACCACGATCAAGGCTCAGAAACGTAGCAAGGAGATCGTTAAAATAATCCATGTGACATCAATGGTTCAACCGTAATTTTACGAAGCTACGAGAATACTTTTTGTGTGCAGGATCCTTGCTGTCTATGTGACACTAAAGACTGAAATAATGACTGTTGAAAATTCAGCTTTGCATCACATGAATAAACTATATATTTTAAAAAATTAAGTTATTTTAATAATAATATTAATAAGTAATAATATTTCGATGTTACTACAATGTTGCTGTTTTTACTGTATTTTTGAGCAAATAAATGCAGGAGACTTCTTTCAAAAACACAAAAACTGTTTATATTGGCCATTTTCAATGGCAGCCGGTCGTAATTAGATAAATAATTCCTAAAAAGTTCATGTTTTATTGAAACGTTAATGTTAACAAGACAGAAACTACTACGAATACACACTTATTAGGTCTAAAGTGACTTGAAACAAATCTACGCTAATGTTTTATTTAAAGACAAAAAGAGGAATTTGTCTATGCAGTGGAAGTGTTTTCATTTCCTACTATCTTTGTCTGTTCAGGTCAAAAGACTCTTGCAGGGTGATGCAAGCATCCCTCAAAAGTCCTTAAATGGCAAAAGGACGGGCAGTGCTGTGCTGAATCCGGCTCGGAGTGTTTCAGACAATTGCACTATCATGCTGCACTCTCAGTTCAGCTGGCGCCCACTGCACTGAGGCAGAACAGAGAATGTGTCTCTGTCTTTTTTCAGAGGTCAGAGGTCCCGGAGAAACTCATCATTCAAACATCCTTTCTTTACGGTGCATTAATTTAAAGCAATGGCCTTATAAGGAGAAGGATGCAGTTTGGTGATCTATATTAGTTTGTTCAAAGAAAAGAGGAATGTTTGTTGAGTGTAATGTGATTAAGTCACAGTGTAGGTATGGCCGGTGTTACAGAGCAGCACATGGATCTGAGTGCGTGGCATTTCTGTCATATCCTTCACACTAAATCCCATTTGGAACAGAGATCAGGACACCTTGTTTCCACTTTGATCTGCATCACTTCCATCCTGTGTGATGCAACTGGCATTTCTGTGGCAAAAGGCTTTCATATTTTACATTTCATATTTCACATATCTGTCTGTATATACACCTATCTATCTATCTATCTATCTATCTATCTATCTGTCTGTCTGTCTGTCTGTCTATCTACTGTATATATCTATGTATTTGTCTGTCTATCTATCGTCTGCCTATATATCTAGCTATCTAGCTGTCTGTCTGTCTATTTATCTATCTGTCTAAGTTTTTTTTCCTTATGAATTTTTCTGCTTGTTCTCTGCTGTTCATTTCCTTCCTTTTCATTTATCTTCTGCTCCCCTCCAAGTTATGAGTGTTACACTCTGCCTTGGCCGCTGTCATATCAGTGACAGTTTGATTTATACCTCACTTCCTGTTTGAACTGGGACTAGGTCAGCAGGAGAGAAGGCTACCCTGTGCAGTCCTCTCCACTTT